GAACGCATCCATCATAAGCCAAGACTCGTGTCGAGTATGATGTCCAATGACGCCCTCCGGGCGGCCGGATCTCGTGGGACTCGGTATTTCGACACATTTTGCAGGACTATTTGGGGGAAATATATGCAAATTGCTGGTCAACCCCCAAAATCATGACTGTTGAATGTCAGAACCTTCGAATTCAGTCAATGATACTGAGCTCACTGCCCATAGGTAAAAAACTTATGATCGAGACATCAAGAGTGACTTTGCATTTGGCCAAAAACTGCCGTTATGACCAATCCAGAGCTGCATCTTATACTCGACGCTCTAGGAAACTACGCTTGGCGAGTGGGCATCTGCAAGGAAATTTCCATCGTTGACTAGGCTCCATTCCGAACGTATCCTGGGCTATGTAGGAAGGAACACCCAATCGGGGAAATGGGCGCAATGGGCTGCAAACTACACCTCAGCAATTTTGGATGACCCAGGTAAGAATGAAGGGGGCTGTTTTTCTCTTTTTCAAGATTCGATCGATTTAGTCACCAAAGCTGCCCTCCTAAGGGCCGAGTTTCCTGCGGAAGGCTTCTTATTAATGCTAGCCGGTTTGGCTCCATCGGAAGACCAAGAAGCCGTGCACCAGCTTACAACCATGTAGGGTCTGACTGCTCGGCAACGACCGCAAATGCCACGTTTTTCTGACTTGCACACGACCGTGAGGCTTACCATAAAGTTGCCGACGACACCAGGACTACTTTCGCAGCTGCTGATGAGATAAGTTCTATTACTTCCCCCCACACCCGCCGCCCATGCAGGGTAACTTTCCAAGCCAGAGCCGGCCATGAATCCCTTTGGCATCGGCAGCAGAAATTGCCCCGGGCGGTCCATGGCGCTGCTGAACATCAACCCGTTATCGCACGCGCGAATTGGCTGTACGATGTCCGCCAGGCAGATGGAGACTCGGGCCGCGTGGGAGAGGGGTCTCCTAGAGCGCCGAAAGGAAGGCAGAGTGTAATTAAATTTCAGCCACGGGTAACTATTACGTCGATGAGCGAAGGGCCGTATCTCGTCTTCCAGGACCAGTTTAGAAAAAGATAGGTCATATGTAGTGGCGGCGTGACGGCTTATACGGGTGGATCTTGGCTTCAATAGAGATATATTGGTTTGTTTCCAAGACTTATCTTATACTTAAACACGGAACGGTGGGATGAGTGTTGAATGTTTCATAGGCGATAAAGCCAATATCGATTTCTCCAGAAGCTGATCACCTTGACACAATTGATTTGATTTGAATGATTGGATCATGCGATCAGTTTTCAAGGTTACCTCGAACTCAGTAGGGTCAACCCCGTGGTCTCATCGGTCTAAAGCCTGGACTTTGCTCGGCTCCCTCCAGCCCAAGGATTTAAGTGCCTCGTGTTTGCTGTCATCAACCCTGCCATCTCATCAGCAGACGTATTAGTAAGGTGTCTGACATCAACCTTTTGCCTTTCGCCGGTGATCGTCACAGTCTCCCCCACCTTTTTGCAGCCCTATTCTTCGCCAGCATCCTAATAACTTCAGCACAGCGCTTGTTACAATGCTCAGTCTGCCACAACTCTGCGAGCATCATGATCCAACTATGCGGCATTCATTCGTATATCTCCCAGAGCACGAAAACGTCCTGCCTCGCCGCCATCTGCGCAATCACTTTCCCGGAGTCTGCAAGCCGCTCTTGCCCTATCGCTAGCCATCATGGAGAACACCCTATCCAGTTGCGAGCCGCGGCGGGCGACACGAGCGGATGACAAAGCATGCTGGTACCGCAATAGACGTGGCCGCGCGGAGGATTTGCTGGCCGAATGGGACACGAAGGACAGGTCTCGAAGGTCAGGGGTGCGGTATCACGGGAAAAGACGTAAAAAGCGGCATTGGACTGCCAGGACGGGAGCACAATCGCCTGGTCGCCGGCAGGGTTTACGATTGCAAGGCCAGCGGGCATGGGTATGGGAACGGTGGCGGAATGAAATCGTAATTTGGGGGCATCGGTGGATTGGGCGCGGCGAGCGCCAAGGGTGAGCTGGACGAGGGAAAGGACGAGGGCGGCGCCAGAACTCTCGCCTACGAAGACGATCGAGGCGGCTGGGACGGGAGAATGGTAGGAATTCCGGGTGGGTAAAGGAGGCAGAGATAGGCTAGGAAGACGTCGATCAGTGCCGAAGGAATGGATTTTGCTGAAGGACGTCTACTGAGCTCACATCAGGGCGAGGACCGGTCCACTCAACTGTAACATCCGGGATGGTGGGAATGGTATACTGCTCATCTCCACGACCTAACAAACGTATTGCACTATCAACTAGGTAGCGGATATCCTCTCCTTGGGCTCAGGGGCCAGCAATTTTGCATGGCTGACCCAGAAAGGACCCTTGGTCCCTGGCTGTCGCAATGATCGCCCCTGGATGGCGGAGATGGGCGTATCCTGGTAAATGCGCGAAAGAGCCGACCTGACCTTCTCAACGAGCGCGGTAATTTCATTGCTGTTGAGAGACGCTATGACCACAATGCTAGCTATAGTGCTAGGAGATTGCGAAGTGAGATACGCGTATCAAAGTCATGAGACGATTTTCGAAAAATGTCGAACTTGAACTACTGAATCATCTTATAAGATAATGCATAAAAGCAGCGGCAGAAATGTGCTGATGTGTGACATCGTTGACACTTTGATGGTAAGCCGGCAGTGAAGCTGACCTGGTGAGCACTTGTTGGTGAGACTATCCGGATGATGCCGTTTGCTTTAGTGTTTCCTTGTGCAGGATAGGATACCTGATGCATTATTGATCCTGCCATGGTCAGTCCGCTTCATCCACTAGGTGACCAGGAGACCTTTCCTGCAGCTGCTGTGAACCATGCATGCACGATAATGCTGTACAGGAACAGTAGGCACCTCCAGTCTCACCCCACACCTGCCTGCCGCAGCAACGATCCGGAACGTCAGCCGACTCGGTTATACTTGCTCCCTTGGGGGAGGTCACTTCCATGGTTAGAGAGAAGCAAGAGGTGAAGAAGCTTTTTACTGGGGGGGAAATGGCGAGATCGTGGCTTAAGAGCTTGTTCATACCGTACCCAAGCTCTTGGATGTGTCTGAGTGTAGTCTAAGCATAGCATGATATGCACCACAGGCCACCTAGTCCGATTCAAACAAGAAGTTTCGTATCTGCAGCCTTAAGAACTTGGTGGTTTCAGCTAACATCGATCTCTCTGTTCGTTGAAGAAAGTCAGATGTGTCCATGATCATAAATGAGGGGTATGTTATTCACTGACAAAAAGCTATGAGATGCTTCATGGACTTACTATTCGAAGATGCCAGTATATCTGAAGTGCGAGCTTCGCTGTCTCAAAGGAGGTCACTTTATGCACCTTTATTCATTCGTGGTTGCTTACTTCGCCGCTATTAAACGAAGTAAACGCCGATGGACTTCATACATATTCAACGAGCTAGTTCAGGTTACGACGGGCTAGCGTAGCTGATGGATGCTCAGAGCCTTTTGATTTCTCGGATTCATTCAATGCCCGCTGTTGCATGTCGTCGGCCTTCATCTTCTTGCCCTAATCAGCATGATAGCGCCTCAACCATTGAGTGTTAAGTATAGGTATATGTTCGAGGCCTTATGCTTTCACCTTCATCTTCTTGTTTCCATTATCTTACCTTGATCTTGGAACGGTGTGAAAATGGGTCTCCAAAGAGGGCCAACGCCATCATTTCATAACGTGATACTTTGGGCATGTTCTTCGACAACCACAGCGCCAAGGAGGACACCAAGGCGGACTCACGTGCCAGCCGACAAATCTAGACGCGTCGATCAGCCGCGCTCCCGAATCCTGATGTGATTAGGGATGTGATTTTACATGTAAGGCCATGTGCCTTACAGTAATTACAGTATTGTAAGGCAAAAACTGCGTGACAGCGTGTAAATCATGTAAAACACTTAGTAATCCTTATGTAAGCCTTCTGATTGGTCAAATCCATGGTCTTGGCAATTCTCTGCGGAGAAATTTTGCCTTCTCTATTCAAATCCACCTTTTTACAGTCATCCTTTCACCATTAGATAGGGTCTGCGAAGATTCTGAAGACGATTTTGAAGAATTATTAAAGATTATTAAGATTTCAGCTAGCCTATTCGAGTTAACTTCCGATTTGATAGGCTTCTTAAGAGGCGACGACTGACGAGAGAGTGTAAGAAGAAGATTACATCGCGACTACTTTGACTTCTTCGATTATTTTGACATTTTTTAGCTAAGACTCATCCCCAGCAATACAACGACGCTAGTCCTTCTACAGGGGCTACTATTGGTCAATTGGCTTCTTTGAAGTCTTCATGTGTGTTCTGAAGACTTCAGAACGCCCATGAAGCTGCAGCCAAGCAAATAGTATGAGGCCTAATAGTTACTTAATAGCGTTAGGGTGGACTCGAAATCTAGCCGCATGTAGGTAAAATGTGGTCTTTAGAATCTTTGTAGACCCTATCTATTGAGCCTTCTACCAAGCATTGGAAGACGTCACATTACGTCACACACGTACCTCAGATGTGTATAGCCTCATTTCTTGAATACGCCATGGCAGAAATCTCGTAAGAGTACCCCTAAGGCCCCAATGTAGCAACTACATTATTCGGAAATGGTACCTCCCAATAGGAGGCTTTCAGGCCAAATATTAAGTACCTACTAGCGCTCTACTAGCGTGACCGTTAGGCTTATGTGTCTTACAGTAATTACACTTGTAATTACTGTAAAGTGTAATTACTGCAAAGTCAAATTCACATCACATCATGTGATCCCTGCAAGCCAGATCGCGTGGCAGATGATACGTCATTTTCACGCTAGTTCTCCCCACGCGTAATGGTCACGATCTCTTTTCTTTCTTACCAACAACAACACACTCTCCCTCACCACTCAACATTTCGTGCGACTCGCCAGATTATCTACCATCAAGTTGACAAAACATCAGTACTTTACCATCATCTTCAACAGTACCAACCGCAACCATGACGGAGTGGACCAAGAAGAAGTACAATGAAGCCTACACCGAATACATGCCATGGATAGAAGATAAGGTCCTTGGCTACTGGGGCGAGAACAAGACTAGCTACACCGCCAAAGGTAGGATGACCTCCTCTTCATCTTTCTTCTCCCCCGCATTCCCTCCTCCCTCCCTCCCTCTTCTTTCCCTGCTCCTCTCCACCCACCCCGCTAACCCCTCTTCTCCCAACAGACAAACTCAACACCGACGTCACCGGTGACAAGAACGTCCAAGCCATCCAAGGCGGCATCGCCGAAGGTGTCGGCGGCCAGTTCTCAAGCGGTGGTCTGTTGGGTGGGGTCGGAGACATGACGAGCAAAGAGGGGGTCAACCGCGCCGAGAGGGGGGGACCCGGGACTGGACCCGAAAGAGTTGGAAAAGTTGAACGCGCAGAAGAAGCAGAAGGGGTGGACGGAGACGCTATCGATGGGGTATATGGGGGGCAGCAAGTAGGGCGGTGGTTGCGGGGCGATGGAGGTGGATGGACAGGTTGTTGGGGTAATTTGGATGAGATTGATCACTCTTGCTTACGAGCTTGTGCGCGTTGGGCTTTTATGACGACGGGTCGTTGTGGTGGACTAATGTTGGAATGCTTGTACGTCTGTCTGATTTCGGGGTCATGAACAGGCATGCTCAGGATTATAGACATACTGTTGATGCTCTACCTGTTGAAGCATGAAGAGACACTCTGAGCGGCCATTTTCCTGTTGTTTCATTTGTGACTATTAGTTCTATCTGCGTCGTTTGGAATTGTCAAGGTTCTAGTCAGGATGTCCATACTCCCTTCCCAAAACCATATCCGGTACCGCAACATCGCGTCCAAAAGCTTTCGAAAGGTGACGAATTGCCAGTATGATACGCTCATGGCGATCCACATTTCAGACCAGATGTGGCAAATGGCCGCTCTAATATGGCAAATCCACGGCTATAGATCGTGATCACATGTCATCCAAAGCTCAGCAAAGATAGAATTTGACAAGCGTCCATGAGCTCTCCCTGCACAACTATGCCCATCTCGTTTCCAATCGAGCGGGAAGACCATCTGACAAGAGTCACACTCCTCCAAAGCGCCATTTCTCTGATTGAGGAAGGCCCAAGAGAGAACTTCACTTTCGAACCGTCATTTGCGCCACCAGGCTATGGCGAAAAAAAGTCCGACAGCTACCAATACGGCTACGAAAAGTTTCCGCAAAATCGACATCGGATCGTAAGAGCTGTCCGATCGGGGGAGGGGCGGTGCGTAGGTAAGATCGCGCGGGTCTCATGCCTCCGCGCTTCACGCCTTTGGGCGAGGTATCTGTCCACTTCTGCTGCTGCACCCTCGCGCGAGCGAGCCACGGCTTGCAGAGTCGAGGTCGCCGTCGGTGCTCGGACCAAGTATCTCGCGGGCTCTGAAATTCGGCGCGGTGGCACGGTCGGTCGGTTGATGGAGCCGTATTGGGCGAGGCTGTTTGCTTTCATGGACTCTAGAAGATCCCACCCGGGCGAATAGGTGGTGGATGGATGGAGGGGGCTTTGGGGCGCAACTGATGTTCCGCGTCCCAACGGGGCCTCTGAACCAATGTAATCGAGCAATTTTGCAAATGAGTCTGGCCTGAGTCTGAACCGTTCACCCGTCCTTTGCTCTCGGTAGTGGCGCTGCAGCAGCGCCCATTCGATCTGACGGGGGGACTCGGTGTTGACATAGCTCATTTTACGAAGTTCAATATCTTGGTCAAGAAAAAGCAGGATGCCGTTGTCAGGGTGGACAGGAGATGGGTGTATTGGAAGGTGAGAGGCACGAACACGCGGTATCGAAGAGTGTTCATTAAGACTCTTGCCACCGAAAGAGGTGAGCTATCACAGTTAGTATGCACCGAGAACATAGTGCTTCCAATGAAATCATTAGAAACTTACAATGAGCACAACAGCCTTTCTTTCGCGCTGGTCAGTGGAGAGAATGACAACAGGATGGTCAGAGCAGCCATCGGGGATTTCAGAACCCGAAAGCGAACAGGGTTCGTCATCTCGCGGTTTTGGTAAATAGGAGAGTTGGCCAGGGATAAAGACTTCTGCTTCAACGTTAATTGCAGTAGGCATTGGCAAGGCTTCGGGCTCTCGATAACAGTTGGCGCAGAGTTAAATGGGATTGAAGTAAAGAGCAGCATTTGTTATATAAGTAAATGAGATATTCGCTCGTTGAGAGTATGACTTGGCTATTTGAGAAACATGTTTTGGCATCCGAGCGCCCTGCCCCACCTGTGGCCGAGGCATCCTGCAGCAACCAATCATCGAGTGCACTCATGACGTCGCAGAGTGGCTCGTAAAAAGAAGCGCTCGCAGTACATCAGGGTTTGGAAGAAGACGTGGAGAAATCATCACCAAGACTTTCAATGAAGAAGCTTTACGCTATGTTTCCCAAGCGGCGCTTTGCACCTAGCTTTGTATTTTTGTCTTCTTGTCTACCTCAGTAGGGGTTTCGATACCTAATCACTCGACATTGATAGGTCTAATCTTGTAGCTGATTGGGGTGGATTGGTACTAGTACCTTGCATTTACTCTGTTTCGCACAGAGTACATGTTGGCAAATGAATAATAGACTTAGAATCTCACGCTATCACACTTGCGTCGTCGATTAATCTTTCTCCTTTCCTCAAAACCGTGACAATATCCGGGCCAGTAGTTTAGAATTTCTTTTCTTCCAACGTCTAGAACCTTTATATGAATCTTCATACTCCACAGAGTAGAGCTATCGTATACGTGTTGATGAACGGATATATGAGTTAAGAGGTAGCTATGAAAAATGGGTTCGGAATTTTCTAGAATTCGAAATTGCGGGGTGAACCCCCCTGTCAGTATGGGTAAGTATGAGGCCTTTTGTATCTTTGCGCCCGGGCCGTTTTCCGAGCCTCTTCTGTCACGCGCTTGACAGCACGCGCATTGGCGCAATCTTGCATCTCCATAATGTTGATAGAGTTGAGACCATATAAGGTACCTCTGATGGGCCAAGCCTCCTTCCAAGCCTCCGTGATGAGCAGCCAATCTGCCAGGCGGAGTTATGGCCATAGAAATGTGAAGGGTTTTGGACTGACCCACCAGTCCCAAGACACTGTGAGACGTGGTCCCAACCTCAAAAGAAGCATGTGTTCGATGTCATAATCATAGAAAGGTATGGTGTACAAGTCAGTTGCATCGGTCTTGCGCTTAAGGCCAAGACTCGTGACCTTCGCTTGCAAGGCAAGAATCTGCAGCCAGCCATTGGCTGCTAGGCTCCAGAGGAGTTCGTTGGCGCTTGGGCCTGCTTTTCGTAGCGGTGGCGGCCTACCCTGCTAGCCAGGTAAGCCTTATCAATGAAATGAACACCAAAGATATATTCGTCAAGAAAGCGATGCTATCCCTTTCCTTGTGCTCGGGAGGGCCACGCTAGTAGGAGGGGATTAGTGTAATTCCGGCCGTCTTGGCATCAAAACTGTAGTTAATCTAGGTCTAGAGAAGAAATCAACTAGGAAAGCAGCTATCTATACCCATTAGACCCACTTTATGTATAACAATATGTGCTGGGGCGCGGGCTACCCAGTAGTGAAAAGCTAGCCAAGCATTGTGGGAACACTGAGAACATCGCTACAATTGAACCGTGAACATATTTACGGTACTGCATTTGATTGATTCTCCGGATCCTCCCCATAACGATATCTAAGAAATAGATTACATCGTCGGTTAATCTCAGAATATATGAGATTCTCTACAGTCTCATAATCACCGTAACGAATTGCAGTAGATATTGCCGAGTAGATATGTGTGTTACAATCAAATGCCAATCGTTCTAAGAAGGTTAAGCGAGACTCGTTCTACACCTAAGAGTATATATTCTCGAGAGCGTTAAGTAACTGCTTATAACGTATCCCGTCGTCGTTATCGTCCTCGTTCTCGTTATCCTCGTCCTCGTCGTCCTCATCCTCGTTGTCCTTATCCTCGTTATCCTCATCTTTACTCGTAGTAACGATATCGATAATATCGTTATATAGCTTCAGAATAGTATTATATTCGTAGAGAATTCGAGCATCTTTCAGCTATTCTACCATACCCCGAAGCTCTTTATCTCGCTCTACTTATTAAATACGAATAGAATTCTTCAGATAATAAGTATCGTAGTCTTATCAAGTGGGAAGACTATAATCTCGATGTAAATTCTATACATTAAAGGTTAGACGTTGTGTAGAATCTTAATAGCGAAATTTAAGATTATCATATTAATAAGGAGGATTAAGAAGAAGTCTAGTAGATAATTTATTAAAGCCTTCGAACGTATATTAAGAAGGTTTATAAGGTATTATAGACTGAGATTAATAGCGTATTATTATATTGTAGAGTGTAGGATCTCGACGTTACTATAGATTTTATTAATTTCTCTAGAATTATAGCTGATTTTGAGAGCGTAATTGCGAGAGGACATACTCATTTTCCTATTATTAACGCTTTTTTTAATAACGATTCGTAGTACGTATAGCAGCAGAAAAAGAGATACCATAATCGAAAAGAGTTAACTAAGATATAATTTGTAGAGATAGAATTCTTTTAGAGAAGAAATGAAGAGAGACGGAGATAAAGTTGAGATTACTAATAAAATTTGATATTCGTAACTAAGAAATTTAGTTACTTCCCGAATAGGTATCTAGCTTTCTTAATTTAGATCTTAGTAATACTTTTTAAAAATTATCGATAGTAAGAAAGCTAGCTTTTTAATTAGATCAAACGCGGGTCACCTAATTAGCCTGTATCGCTTAGATCTTAGATTACTATATATTGGGATTGTAATTAGAGAGCTTTATTTTATAACTGCGTCACTCACATTTCTTATTCAAAACCCGAAATCGAAGTTCTGTCGGTTTTTTATAAAATGACAATTATGTATAGCTTCAAAATATCTTCATGTAACAACTACATATTCAATCGTAGAGTGCTATTGTCGTATCGCACAAATCGCAATATTTTTTAGGGTGAAATACACTACTTAATAATGAAATCTAAGTCTGACGTCTAGATTAGCCAATTAATAACCCTATCTAGCTTCCCCCAGCACAAAGAAAGGGGAAAGACAGCCTTTCTTAAACGGCGCAGAAAAATACCAACGCTCGCGGGTAAAAAAGAAGGCCTGCAAACGTCAAGCAATCCTTCTATCTTTACTAACTGAAATAATACCTTTAATACCCTCTTTATAAGCTAATACTTGCTATGAGAGTCGTTATTTATACTAATATCTATATATTCCAGAGCAAAATCTTCTTGATAGGACCTTTCGTTGGCAAATTATATTAGATTTGCAGATTTTAAGGGTGTGTAGGCTTTTTTCTCACCCGCGAGCAACCGTTGAAGCCGGCCGGTGAACTTTCCTCGCCCACCCTCTTCAACGTCTCATCTTATTCCGTCTGACTTACATCAAGGCGCAATAATATATCGCTCAGCCTTATCCCCGCAGCCTTATCCCCGCAGCCTTATCCCCGCAGACGAGTCGAACTCGAATTACTAATTCATACTCCGAAAGTATGAATCCTTACCGAATCATACCCCTAATTACTAAATCATACCCCTATATTAAATTTCACCCAAATATGAGGTATGATTCGGTAATTTGCTATTGCTTAAGGTATGATTTGATAAGGGTCTTAAATGATAGCTTTCTGATATAAGAGGGTTTAATGAAGTAAATGGTAGTGGTAGGCTCTAAGCGTCTGATAGTAGTCGTCGACTTGATTATTGATGACGGTGGTATTTACGCTGCGTAACGGGGCGGGGTTCGGGGCGGGGTTTGACCCCCGAAGCTTACCCCGCCAAATTATTCCTTCGGGGGCCCTACGGGGCCCTACGGGGCCTACGGGACCCGAATAGGGGTGTCTGCAGCGTGAAGTGCGGACATCCCCGGGCTCGAAATTTCGCCCACTCGGCTTTCGTCTGATGTTTTTAGGCTGATAGAAGTCTCATCAAATGCGGTCGGAGAAACTCCCTTATTTCTATGATCGAATAAGCCAGATCGCGGATTATCTCCTTCGTAGTTTGAGGCCACTTTGACAACTTACCAAATCATACCCCAAGCAATGGCAAATTACCGAATCATACCCCATATTTGGGTGTGATTTGGTGTAGGGGTATGATTCGGTAATTAGGGGTATGATTCGGTAAGGATTCGTACTTTCGGGGTATGATTCGGTAATTTGCCCCAGGAGGATAGCTAGAGGATACTTCAAAGGAAAATCCCCTGACAGCGAGCGCGAGTCTATCGAAACTGACGAGAGCCGGGCTCAATCGCCCGGAGCGTTCCTCTAGGTAATCCAGTCCTCCACCCTCCCGCTCGTTCCGGGCGCAGTTCTCATGCGTGAAATCTTCAGCCTGGTCCTATCATGCATGTGGCCCACCATCTCCGCAAGAATGCAGGAAAGACAAGCTGGATTGCCCTATTTCCCATTTTGCAAACAAATCTCCTTAGATTTTCCTCTCCTCGCAATTCGCTTTGGTGTGATGGAATTACCTTCCTCCTGCTTTCAAACCATGTGACCATTCAAAAGATTCATGCCAGACGAGATGAACTACTCAGCCTGGCCGGCTCTTGCTCCGCCTCCCGGTGTACTTTCAAACTTCACTGATCCGAAGACTTTGTCGACTAGTCTCGTAACCGACAACGCTATCTTTCTCTCCTTGATGCTCATAGTCGTGGGAATTCGACACTATTCTCGGGCTTTCCTGTCGCACGCCGTAGGATGGGATGACTGTAAGTGCCGAATGAAGACCTTGTGCAGTACTGGGCCTACGATCTTGAGATATGTGTCTTCTGGCCGCGGTGAGTCTTTTTGAGAGATACCGCAACACACATTCTGACAGGTCCCATTAGCTTTGCTCAGCCGCCCATACTTTCATGACTCTCTGCAGTGAATACTTCCGCTCTGAATATGAGACGCCGCTGACACACAGAAAGTCATTCAATATGGATATGGGAGGCATCTGTGGGACATTCGCGCAATCACTCTGCTTCCGTCTCGACTGAAAGTAAGAGACTCGCAAATGGTACGCTCAGTTTGAGGCTGCCCGCCGCTAATACGGAATCAGCAAATGGGCTCCATGGGCATCATCGGATCCGCCTCAACATTGAGCATTAAAATATCGATCTTCTTACTCTATCTCCGCCTTTTTCGTGTGAATCAACGGTTCAGGTACTGGGTCCATTCCGGCATGCTCTTCTACATCTTATATACGGCAACTTATTGGCCGTTCCAAACCGCCAGCATAATTGAATGCAATACGCCACAGAGTCTGAACATCGCAATCTGTGCCAACAGTGACATTACTACCGTTGTAATTACCGCGATCAATGTCGTGACCGATTTTTATGTTCTCGCTTTGCCTATTGGAATAGTCGGACGACTTAATGTTAAACGTACCAAGAAACTTGGCCTTAGAGCCGTCTTTCTGTGCGGTCTTATGTATCCACCCCTGCTCATACAATTAGACCATTGGGGTCTTTGGCTAACCTCCTTCGAATAGCGCAAGTCTTGCAAACGTCGCAAAACTTATTTATGCGACTTTGCATCTCAATGACCAAGATTCCGCTGCATTAACGACTGAATTCGCGTGAGTCACCCTTCCTGGCTGTTCCATCCAAGGGTACTGACACCACAAGTATCGTCGAGATGAACCTTGGCACCATCGCGGCCTCTATGCCAGCACTGCCGCAATTCTTTGCTAAAGCCCGGATTTTCCATGCCTCCACTTATAGCTTTTTGCATCGCTTACTCAACAGACGTGACCCGTCATCCCTCTCCTGGTTCGGTCAGTCATCGAAAAATCTGGCTTCGGGGTACCCAGAAAGGCAGCGTGGTCCTGCTGTTCGAGGTGAGAACCAGACTGAACTACAAAGCTTGCCCGATGTACGAGCATACACGAGGACCGACGTGAGTCATGATGACGTTGCCCTCGGCGGAGGACTTGCGCAGACAGAGAATTCGCGGGGGGTTTTGAACCTTACTGTCTGGTGTAAAAGAACAAGGTCTTGACCATTCGTGGCGATCCCTGAGAACGTTGTGTCAATGGACCTCGGGTTGGTTGACACCTTGAGTACTTAGAAACCCCAGGTGCTTTTCAATAAAGTTGCCTGAAGCAGATACCGTGGACATAAGTTCCATCTCTGAAATATTTCTCTATAATCACCTCACGAGCTTCTCGTGTCATTGTGCCACGTTCTTAATTGGAGTCCGCCGTATGGCGCCGTCTTTCTAGCGGACGAGGCCCGGAGAGTCGTTACACAAACACACTGGATACTCTTTGACCAATAGAACAGGATTAGCAAGATTAGCTAGCAGTCACGAGACTCCATCTGACGTGCCCACTACATCGTCATGCTTATCCATCGTTCGCTATTTTTTTCCCTACGGGCTTCGATGTTCTCAACTCCATAGCCATGCAGGGGCGGCAACAGCCAGTAAATTCCAGAGATATTCCCTAACTCATGCCTATCTCCCGCCACAATCTTCGTGCGAGAGTCAGCTTTGCGGCTTGAGCTTGGACTTGCAATAATATGAAGACGGCTCGCTACACAATTACTAGTGGCATTCGTCATGGAAAGGGGGGGAAGATCAATTTGAGATAGAAATAGAATCATGCTTGATACTTTTCGCATACGCTGCTCCGGCTGCTTCCATGCCGTGTCAAGGGTATCGGCGCTTTTTGATTCCTGGATACAGGTAGCCGGTATTATGAGGGCCATGCGTTTGGTGATGGGAGACACAGGAGCCGATATGAGGCAGTGGGCTGAAGGACTAAAAGGAGATGCTTGGGATTGGGGTGGGGAGTTGAGAGACTGTTGCTGCCGTGAAGGGGCAAGCGGGTTCTTCAAGGCTGAATTTCGAGATTTATGTGTCCGGAAAAATGGTGTAGATGTGATAAATCATGTTAGCTGGTGTCCATTCGGGAGCTTCAGAGGTAACTTGAATCGCACGTAGCCCGGAGTCATGTTCAGACGACTGGACGACAAAATTGTCCTCCACTGAGAGCCAGTTTCCAGAGGACATGTAAATCGATCTCGCTTCCGGAGACGCAGAAAGCTTCTCCAACGCCTCAGCATCGCACAAATCCCAATCATACCCTCCCGACTGCATCCACAACGCCTTCAGCTCCAGAACCGGGTTATGCGGCTGCCGCTGTCTTGACAAACTCATTCTGATCTGCTCAAAGATGCCCGCACCTGCGGCATCCTCGGCATCCTGACCAGGCTCCACGACGGCCAGATTTGGACGGCTACCGTCAAAAGATGCAAACAATGGACCGCGTCCTTCGGACTTCCATTAAGGGCTGTCGATGACATTGATGAAGCCGCAAAGGTGCAGCTCGCGGCCGTGGCTCTCGGGTATCAACGCAACGGTGGGGAATTGGTCAACGAGGAAGCTGCGTTTCTGGCGGTGTTGGAGTTGCAGCTTCTGGTGCGCTATGCATGAATGTGGGGAGGGAAGAGGAGCGTAGATAGCGAAAGTAGCTTCGTAATCTGCAAGTTCCAACTCGCCTAGGAAAGTGGCTATGCCGATGAAATCGTCCTTAGTATTGGTGGTGGTGGAGTAGACCTACCACGAGAATCGCGGTAGCTTAGCACTGTCGTCTCCTTTCCGTATGCCTTGAAACTTGATGGTCGTGGGAAATTGTCGAGTGCCATTCCCGCTTTGGGCGCGGCCGTGTTTCATCTCGGTCATGGACCCGTGCAAATTTTTGAGTGCCTGGCTTTTCTTACCAGACAAAATTGTGTAACCTTTGGGTTAGAGCCGGGAATTAAAACCACTTGCGCTTGAAACACGTAAAACATCTAGTCCAAAATACTATACTTGATCCTGTCTCGTGGTTCATTATGTTGTGACGTCCAGGTTTGACACCCTCAGTAAGGACGCCTCAACGATTGATAAGCCGAATTTTGACGCTATTATATCGCGCGCATTTGTGTTGCTGGTAAATTCGCATATAATGGAAAGGAGCAGCAGTGTTTTTGAAAGCTCGAAGACGCATGTGGGGTTTCCATTTCGCGCTGTCTTTCGGGCTTTCTTCTGCGCATCTCTCCCTCGTGCCGCAATATTACCCTGGTGCTTGTTCCACCTGGCGTCTTCCCACTCAAACTGCTCATATTTAACGTAAAAGCCCGCGGTGACGATGTGCGGGAACCAGTAAGACCACAAGGTCGCCAGTAACAGATCGCGTTAAGCCAATCGTGAAACTCGTTGCGAAACGGAGAAGGAAAAGCAAGATCGATCAACCAATCCCAAGATACACTCAAAATCCGACCTAGGTCAAAGACAAGCCGACGTGGTCTGTCATACAACATCGAAGATGAACAGGGGTAAGTAAGTTGCTTTTGTGCGGCATATTCTATTTTCTTAACCCGGAGGTAAACTAGGATATCGTATCCTCCGCTCGCTAAAACCTGCAGCCACTTTTCGCCCACCGTTCTGGCATCATATGGAGCCTTGGTATTCGCGAAGAGCTCGTCAGGAGTGTTCTATTTCTTGAGAGAGCTCCTGGAAAGATTTTCTGGTGATGGTCCGAATAAGCGTCAGCTGTGCCCCACAAGGTCGCATGGAGATTCAATCCGTGGCGTAGCAGTGTTCGAAGAAAGGGCTCCCGTTCTGGCGAATTGGCCTAGCACGGATTTATCTTGTTATTCTTATAATACTGGGCGTACTGCGACCACATGTACTTCGCGCCTTCCAGCGATCCTTCGTGGTAATCAAACACGGGGCAGAAAGCCGAGTCGTCATCATCTGCAAACTGTAGCAGCATTCTAAGGTGTAAATCTTTCGCTTCGTAGTTCCTGCGCTGTCACACCTCGATGTGTGGAACCCCACTACTCTGAATGGTTTGCTATTGGCCGACATAGCGAGTTCACATTCGGATCTGAAAGGCTACTTACATATTGGGCCATAAGATGGTGGGCTCAGATTCTCGGCCTTATTGAAGCAGCCAAGAGCACAAATCGGGCCTGTGCACCCCGCGGCGACCTACGTAGGAGTAGCTCCCATTTGACCCGGTAGTATGAAGCATGTTATAGTCTGACATGAAAGAGGGTGAATTCATATTGATCTACTGGGAACGGCGATAGTTGTCCATTGGTGAATGCGGTTTGTAGTCTTTGAATGTCGCCGTTTCTACACATGTCCTCTGCTTGTAATAGAACTAGCGATAAAGAGCTCATCACAGGATATGTTCTTATGGACCTTGAGACTCGGCCGAAAGAATCTGGCACCCGTAGCTTCAAAGCGTCTTTCAGGAAAGATGGTCTGATAGAAGAGATACTATCCTCATATACAGGGGAACTCCGACGATCCTAAGAATTGCCAGTGATTTTTGACTTAGCGTCAACAATGATATTGCACAAAATAGCTTGTTATCATACTTCACTCTTTTTGTGTTTGACTGTGAAAGAACTAGCTCCTTTGAATTCCACCAGAGGCGGATGTGATGCCGCTGGGGTACCACAGTCTTTCGAATGGTAGACTGTAGATTCCTTGTTTGACCCAAAACATCAACGTGGGACTTGATGTCCTGCTCCAATTCTGTGACCGGCAACTATGCTGTGCAAGCAGCAGAATCCTTTGTGAGACTGGCGCAAGTGGTTTGGACTTGATGTACACTCATGACTTTTAGTACTCTTCACCTACGTAAGCTTCTGGATACTTACTCAAGATTGTTTGAATTGATCATGGGAGCGGTCAGCAAATCCCACGTAGACTCTCTGAGCTGAATCTGGAATTTCCGAATCTGATCCTTCTCCGTCAAAAGTTTCATGGCCGCCAATCTCCTTTGCATGAGGCTTTGGTAGTTCAAGGAGATTGTGAACACGTCCACTAACTTTGCAAGCACTCCAAATCTGCTTTCGCAGACTTTCATTGCGCTGCTGATGCGCTGCGAATTGGGTAAAAGTGCACAAGAAGTCTGTTGATGAACGAAGTCCTGGACTTCTGCCATGTTTTGCTGTACTCTACCTGGTCGAGAGTCAGCAATCTCAAGTAATTCGCTTCGTGCATGGTGAAGGCTGCGTAGGAACTTGCCGATATCGTAGGTAGTTGCTATGAGCTGAACCACTGCAGAAGCGCCAGATACGCCATCCCTAGCGCTATCGTGAAAGTACTCAGACTACAGTTGGTAGTCCTGTCTGTCTTTGGAAGGGAGATCGATGTTCGAGAGAACGTGGAGGGGATAACGCTGCGCTGAGGCATTTGATATTGAAATTACCAGCAGAGCGGCTCTTTTGCCGGTACGAAACTTTGGACTTAACAACAAACAGATGAGCGATAGACAATTGCATCCTGATTCGGCAAACCAGTGTCGTGGGATCTACCCATGCGCGGCAGCCACTCATCATCGAAAACGAACCCGAATTTGCAGAAACACTACCTCCTTCAGGAGAAGTGACCATGTATAAATCCGTACTGTGAGCATCTTCGAGGGCAGAAAGCACACAGCCTGCCAGGCCACGTTACCGAAAGCACAACGGATTACGCCAGCGCGAGAGCCTGGTACGTCATGGAACGACAGACTTGATGCACATGATTCATTCAGAAGGGGTGGAACTCAAGGCTGAAAGTAATTGACGATGCTCTCCCGACTAACGAAGAACGGAGTGGTACTGCGTATAAGGTCGAAAGAAACCAGAAATTTGATTTGCCTTTTCAAGACAACTCGTCCACCAATATGAGGATGCCGAGAGAAGGCAAGCGGAGATCCAAATCAGAACACTGAAGTCTAAGGTCATGTATCATCGGATCCATCCCGACGAGATGCTCATGGATTGATTTGGTCAGCCGAAGTGTGGTGCTGCCCAAATAAATCCTGCTCTGACAACAGGATGAACTGAGCCCAGCGCCAAATTACCCAGTCAGATCTATTCCCTGGCTGCACTTTCCTTTCAGCACCTCCTGGGATTCATTAGTTGCTGTAAAGTATTAGGTTCCAGCTCAGCTCACATGAAGGTCAGGCTGGAATCCCGCTCTGATTGAGAGGAATAAGCTACGAGAGAATGACGACTTTGGGTATCATGGGAGATTGAAGCAAGAGTCATGTATAGATGGTGAAAGCCCCAGTGATAATCATACAGTTCAGGCGCGGTCCCCAAAAAAGGGTGACAATCATCACAAGGTTTCCCTAATCTTAGAGATTGTCATATGTGTTACCTGCAAGGAAACGTTTTCTATGCACTTATACCTTTTGACTCAAATATCCTATGACATGTAGAGCGCAATCTGTCTTGGTCGACATCCCAAAAATATGCGCAAATGAAAGGTCACATGTGAGATGATAGGGCTGCTAGCGCCGATCTGGGGACAGACTTGGCGCCCAGTCTCGTACCAATTGGTGCCCGCCTTTTACTTCTCTCGACGCTTTGACTTTCGAAGCAAATCACTTCGGCTCGACATCCAGATGGGAGACAGCGGGGGAGGCACCGAGGTCACATACGATTCGCTGGAACATGTCCTGAGGAACGATACCAAGGTCAAAGTCGCCGGCGTCGACATCGATGGCGTCCTCCGCGGCAAGCTCATGTCCAAGAAGAAGTTCCTGGGGATCGCAAAAGATGGCTTCGGCTTCTGCTCCGTCATTTTCGGCTGGGACATGCACGATCAGACATACTTCAAGGAATTGAAGATCAGCAATGCCGAAAATGGGTACCACGACATCATCGCTGTGCCGGACTTGAGCAGCTTCAGGAGAATACCGTGGGAGGATGATGTGCCCTTCTTCCTCGTCAGCTTCCTCGATCCGGACCATGGAGGTCCAATCAGTGCCTGTCCGAGAGGTCTGCTCAAGACCGCGGTCGAGAAGTTGGAAAAGCAAGGCCTGGGGGCGATGGCTGGAGGTGAGAGATCTGGACCCACTACGGAGATCATTGTGCACAGGAAGTCCTGACTTTGTGCTGCCGGACTCCGCTGACCTGGCACCCAATAGCTGAGTACGAGTTCTTCCAATTCAGAGCGCCTGTCAACAACGCGATAGATCCCAAAGAACGCAACTCGTCCTCTACCGCAAAGTTCCTCCAGGAGAACCCGCACAACGCGCTTCCCCCTCTCACAGAAGGCATGTTTGGCTACAGCCTGACGAGGCCAGTCCATAATCAAGAGTACTACTATGGCATCTACGACGCTTGCGAGAAATTCGGGTGCGGGATTGAAGGCTGGCATACTGAAAGTGGTCCTGGAGTCTTTGAAGCAGTATGGAAGCCTTCTATTCAACATAGACCCCGAGCTCATGATTATACCAGGCACTCGAATTTGGGGAGGTCAAGCAGATGGCGGATAAAGCTGGGCTGTTCAAGTCGGTGATGCCCGGAGGCCCTCCACATTCCCGCACTGCTAAGTACCATTCAGATACGTCGTCAAATCCTTGGGCAGTAAATTTGGTATCACCCCCTGCTTCATGGCCAAACCCCGAGAAGGCCTTCCTGGCAATTCTGGCCATATGCACCTGTCGATCGTTGACAATTCAGGCAAGAACATGTTCTATCGCGGGTCGAAGGATCCCCACCCTCCATATCAGGACCTTGAATACCTCTCTGATATGGGACGTCACTTCCTAGCTGGTCTATTAGATGGATTACCAGATGTCATGCCTATTGTTGCGCCTACCATCAACTCTTACAAGCGACTCGTCGAGAACTTCTGGGCCCCTGTGACCGTATCGTGGGGATTGGAGCATCGAGCTGCTTCAATACGACTGATAGCGCCACCGACCGCAAGTGCAAAGGCTACGAGGTTCGAAGTACGTGTTGCCGGCGCGGACGCCAATCCCTTCCTCGTGCTGGCAGCCATTCTCGCCCTCGGTTGGCGCGGCGTGGAGAAGAAGCTGGAGATCAAAGTGCCGCCTCTGGGCAAGGGGCAGAATGTTGGAGGTGCATCAGATCAAGGGGTGCGCCTTGCAAAAGGATTGAAGGAGGCTACGGTGCAGATGATGAGGCGGGAGAGTGTGGCCAGGGAAGTCTTTGGGGATGAGTTTGTGGAGCACTTTGGAGGCACGAGAGAACATGAGATCAGGCTATGGGACGAAGCCGTCACTGATTGGTGAGTGTAGCATGCAAGAGGCTTGCACAAGTGCTGACACAACAACGCAGGGAATTCAAAAGATACATTGAGACGGTTTGAAGACGAGCTCTATTTGGCTTCTGATTTTCTTGGAAATCTTGGAATTCATGTTTGGGTAGTTCAAGGCTCCGATGATACCCTGACAGGCGTCCAGGCGACCAATTGATAAGTAGGTACTTTGTGCGAAAAAGATCGAACGGTGCGCGACATGAAGCTTGATGCAAGGTCCACTTAATGATCAGATGTGCTTTTGTGCTTGGTTTTCAATTGAGCTCTCTGCAGCAGTCGGATCAATGATGTCGGAGACATAAATCGTACATTCCGCCGCCAACCGATTCGTCATCATTACCCAAGACCTTAGTCAGAAAAAAAAAAGACAAAATACCGCCTTTCGGAAGTGGACTATGCCTTTTTATTTTTACCCCTCCATTCAAACTCCGGTTCTTTTGGTGGGGTATTGACTTTCCTCCAACAACAACAATTCCATTCCGACTTAAAATCTCTCACTCCTACAACTACTCTTCCTAACCTCTCAAACATCAACTTTGCAACCTCCCATTTCCCTCTCTCTCTCTCTCCCTCGCTCCCAAGGATTCAAACTCCAGCCTTAAACCTCACGACCTCATCAAAGCAAGTCAACTGATTGACAACCGCCATCATGCCCATCGAACCCCCCAAATCCGACTCCCTCAAGGAGCTCTTCAGCCTCAAAGGCAAAGTCGTCGTCGTCACCGGCGCCTCGGGCCCCACCGGCATCGGCACCGAAGCCGCGCGCGGGTGCGCCGAAATGGGCGCCGACGTCGCCATCACCTACTCCTCCCGGGCCGAAGGCGGGATCAAGAACGCCAAGGAGCTCGAGGAGAAGTACGGCGCCAAGGCCAAAGCCTACAAGTGCGACGTGGGCTCCTACGCCGACGTGGAGAAGCTGATCAGCAGCGTCATCGCCGACTTCGGGCGCATCGACGTCTTCATCGCCAACGCGGGCCGGACGGCCGACGCCGGCATCCTGGACTCGAGCGTCGAGGCGTGGAACGAGGTCATCACGACGGACCTGACGGGCACCTTCAACTGCGCCCGCGCCGTCGGCCTGCACTTCCGCGAGCGCAAGACGGGCTCCCTCGTCATCACCGCCAGCATGTCCGGCCACATCGCCAACTACCCGCAGGAGCAGACGTCCTACAACGTCGCCAAGGCCGGCTGCATCCACCTGACCAAGTCCCTGGCGAACGAGTGGCGCGACTTCGCCCGCGTCAACTGCATCTCCCCCGGCTACATCGACACGGGCCTCTCCGACTTTGTCGACCAGAAGGTGCAGCAGATGTGGCACGACATGATCCCGCTCGGCCGCGACGCCAAGGCCAAGGAGCTCAAGGGCGCCTATGTTTACTTGGCGAGCGACGCCAGTTCGTACACGACGGGGGCTGATATCGTCATTGATGGCGGGTACACTACGAGGTAGACGGTGGCGGTGCTGCTGCTCTGCTCATTGCTTGGCATGACTTGATCTGCATCCGGACTGGATGGTGGGTTGAGAAAGATCAAGATGGCAAATTGCACGTGGACAGATAGAAAATGAAAATCCGATCTACGCCCATCGTCCTCTCCCCATGCTGTGCAACTGCCACTCCTCCCCGTATACAAGGGTCACCTCTAGCTTGCGGATCCTCAAGTCAAAGAGCCAGAAACCTTGCTCTCGTGGTCCAAAAGTATATGCACAGCCCGTGATGCGCGTTGACCATCGTAATTTCCCAATCATTACCAAGGACACACATCAGTTGATGATTTCATTGAAAGGGGACCTAACACATCAGTACTTTGGTAGAAAAATAGCAGGATATGTTTGAAACATCAGGTCAATGTCAAAGCTTACTAGACAAGCATTGAATCATCAAATGAGTGAATTAATCTCCTCATGTATGTACATAGCTAGTTCGAATGGCTTGCAGATGCCTGTCCCTGCCCACCATCACATTTTCAGAGCCTAGCTTTTCCCGTCGTAAATCCATCACTGTACCAAAGTCAGGCCGACTCTCCGGTATACCCGCCACACCCGTAGAACGGACTCAACACACTCACGAACCTTCCACATACTCACAGATGCTGGTGGTAAAAGTCGAGCAGCACTTGATAACCACGCTCATACTCCTTCTTGACCTTTTCATCCTCGAGGTCGCCTCGAGCGGCCATCCATCCGTGGATCTGGTCGCTAAAGGTCTCAATGTGGTTCTCCACACTCAACGTCTTCCCAAACTCCTTGACCGCATTCGCGTCTTCGTCGCCGGATGCGAGCATGCAGAGGGGAACCTTGATGCCCTTGGCGTCGGCCGGGTCGACCATTGCGGGGTGAACTTCGGCGACGGCGGAGAAGGAGGTGCCGGGTTGAGCGGTCAGGGAGACGATCTGTCGCACAAGATCAGCATACCACGTTCAAAGACCAAGGACAGGAACACCACGGAAGCATCTCACCTTCCCGCCCCAGCACATGCCCAAACTGCCCCACTTCTTGATCCCCGTCGCCTGCTTCTCAATCTCCCGCAGCAACCCGGGCACCTTCTTCGCCGTATCCGGCGGGCTCGCGGGGCCCGCGAAGAAATCTCCAACCTTCTTCTTCTTCTCGTCCGTGTCGGGCGGGAAGTCGCTGTGCGGGAGGGGTTCGCCGAGGAAGAAGTCGGGCATGAAGACTTGGTATTGGTGGCCGGAGTCGGCGTGGGCGAGGATGTCGGCGCCTTGGATGGCTTGGGGGGAGAAGCCGAAGATGTCGTAGATGATGAAGATGGCGGAGGAGGCGTTG